ATTAGCATTTTTCTTCTATCAGCTATTGCAGGATAGAAACTGGTAAGAATTTTTCTTATGTCATTTAATTTTCCCATTTCACTCAGTTACTCATTAAATACACATTTATGGAGTGTTTATTATGTGTCAGGCATTGTTCTATCTTATACACATCATTACATGTATTTTCTGTAAGAGCCCTAAGAGACTGTGGCGGGTACTGTTATTATCCTTCTCATTGTTTCTGTGAGGAGATTGAGCCACAGAAAGGCTCAGTAACTCATTTAAGCCACCAGCTGGTAAGTACTAGAGCTACTTTAGTCTCCCAAGCACATACTCTTTCTGATGCAAAACCTGATAAAAACCAGTGACCAGGTAGCTGGGTCGAGAGGCAGTGTAGTGGTGACCTCAGGGCTGTGGGTGCCGTGCAGAGCCTGGATGTTTACAAGGAACACTGAACTTGAAACTGGACAGATGTTCAAATCCCAGCATTCTTCTTGGTGTTTATAAAAGCCTCAGTCAATTGGCTTCTTAGGATTTCAGCACCCTCCTTTGAACTGAAGATCATAAAACCTCTCTTTCAGTGTCCCTGTAAAAATACATTTGGTGGTATATCTGACATCCTCCAGGATTGGAGATTCAGCCCAAATTGGAAGTGCCTAGGAACAGGCTTTTGGTACAATGCTTAGGGACAGCCACTGAGCCACAGTGCCTGTGTTTATGTCTATCACCCTGCATGATAGCATATGACAACTTTCTGTCCGTGTCTCAGTTTCCTCGTGTGTAATTAAACCTACGTCATAGGATCATGCTGAGGATTAAACAGGTTGAATATATATAGAACAGTGACTACTCCATAGAAAGCTTTGTGAGTATTGGTTCGTACTGCTCTATCGTGCATTGTATTTCATCTACAGTGATGAAATCCGACAGATACAATGTGATCACTTTAAAACCATTTAGAATCCCTGCCTATTCACTGAGGAACAGAGAACAAGTTTAGCTTAGGATATAAGAGTTGCATTTATACAGTGGCTACTGATTTTTTTAAAAATTTTATTTAAAAGGAAAAAGAGGAAAAAAAAAGCAGAACAAAACAAAACAGTGTAAGGGTACAAGTAATTCAGAACTACAAAAAACAAAAAAAAACAACAGTGGCTACTGATTTTGTAAGCGTTCTTGGCTTCTCTGCCTTTGACCTCTGCTTATCTGCATAAAATGGTTGGGAGAGTAAACCTGAGAGGATAAAGAATGTTAGGTCATGGAATGTGCTCGCATTCTGGATAAACGCCCTACCTGGGCTAACATCTGGTGGATAGAAACTCCCTGGTAGAAACACTGGGGCCACCAATCTTTAGTTTGCTGGAGAAAGAGAGCCTCAGAGTGGCATTTCTTTTGTTGTCTGTACTTGCCTGGGTTCGATCCTCAAAGCTCTTTCCCATTTCTTTCCTGTTTAGAAACTATTGCTGTATTGGGCCAGGTTTTCCTTGGACCCTTTCTGTAACACTAGAAGGTGGTGGAAACTGTAGTGTATCTATTGCTTCTTTGAAGGTAATACACTTTAACTTACACATTTTACCGGCCTCCAGAGAGCAGGATTACGCTGAAGACATTCAATTTTAAAGATATGTTGCTGAAATGAGCTCTGTAATGGAGAATCTTCAAGACTGGGTGCTTTATTGGGATTATTCAACATCGTGTGAAACTTCCAGGATTGACAGTATAGAGTTGGGGATGTTCCTTTAGCCTATTCAAAACAGAAACAGAAAGAGAAAGGTATTTGTTAATGTCATTCAGGAATGTCTTAATAATAACAAAAACACTAAGATGATACTGGACATTGTGAACGAGGCTTTGTGATTTTTGAAGCAACTTAACATACATTTTTTCTCTGTGCCTTCTTGCGACTCTGTGCTGTGAGGGAGACAGGATTTATCATCATTTCTCTTCTAAAAGTGCTTTAGCTGGGGTTCAGAGAGGTGAAACTAGATTCCTTGCAGCACCAGTAGATGTGAACCCAGAACATTTAGCTTTCTGCTTTACTACCCTGATATGAGTGTAATGAGATCATGCTTGCCAAACTGCTGCCCAGGTGATAGGGAATTGCAGTTTTCCTTGAAAATGTTGGCTTGTATTTTCCTTCTTCAAATGAACTGATTAAAAGCAGCTCTAATTTGCTATTAACTCAGTTCTACCAACGTATAAACAGCAGTGAATCTCTAGGACTTACTGTTAAACCAGCGTGTGTTTTTCAAAAACTCAAAATGTCAAAGTATTTCCTGAAGCTTGCTTTAATGAACAGAGCGGTGAAGGTAACATTCCCTTTTTTGCATGAGGTAATTAGGAAACAGGATGTTTCTAACTTGCTGTATGAATTTAAAGAGGGGCACTTGTACCGATGCAAAAACTGTATGAGCGTCTCACTGAGAGGTTCACACTGGGAGAAGTTTTAAGGGAAAGACGTTCTCATTAATCATATTAACTATTTTAGACTTGCTTGAAAATGTAATGTGTGTCATAAATTGAATCTAAGTGAGTCTTTACACACACACACACACACACACACACACACACACATTGAAACCAGCAACAACACAAATTCCAAACAGAAGCATAGGTTAAACATCTAGTCCCAGCTCCAAAGTCTCTTTTCAGAGCCTGGGTGTGTCCTCAGAATACAGAAGAGAGGAGTTGAAGAATCCCTTGAGCTTCTTTATGATTTAGGTAGAATCTGACTGTCTTTGCTTGCAAGAGAGAAAGGATCTAATTCTCTTTAGCAAATGTGTTTGGGTCGCTCAGACACCTGGCACTGAATAAGCCAAGCACTGTGTTATCGCCTCATGTGCCAGCTTATGGGTCAGCTGACAAGTGTTTTAGACACTTCTGTCCTCCCTGGGCCCTACATGGCTCTCAAGTGATAAAGTCTAAGTGCCTCACCAGCTCCCTGACAGTGTCTTGAAAAGCCTGCCTTAGAAGGAGGCACAACACATTTCTGCTTGTACAGCTCACTCCCCGACCCCTGAACTTTCCATCTCTGATGGTTTCCTTTGAGGTTTGCATCGTCTGGTAGTGTTATTAGTGTGATTTATGCCCCACATGCAGCTCACCTTGTAGCTGTTTAGGATACATCACTCTGAGTTCTCTATACTCATAGGGGTCTACGTATTATCTCCCGTTAACATGTAATAATTAGCTTCACCTCTCCAAACAAGGTTAGAAAAGAAAGCACTAATGTGTTAGGGGAGATGCCGAAAGTGGAAGATTCTCTTCTTCACGTATCTGTCACACTCTTAATTCTGTTTGGTCTGGCATTACTTGTTCTGCGTGTCTCCTGTGCTGCAGTTTGAACTTCTGGAAGGCAGGTGTCGTGTATTAATTACCATGGAAGTGCATGCAGTAGACACTTATTGTTGAGTAGCTGGGTTTCATGTCTTAAAAAGCTGAGAAGGTGGTTTCCCTTCACAGAGGTGGCTGTGAATGTTGCTCCTTCTGTGTTTTCCAGGACTCATCATGCAGAACTCTTGATTCCACAGCTCGTTCCTTGGGAGGCTCAGGGTCTCGCTCTGTCATATTAGGGAGAAAGCTCTTTGCAAGCCAAATGTCACTCTCAGGAACCTTCTGGATGCGATTTACATGCACAGGGGCTCTGCCACCTGCTCCCAAATTGCAGAAGTCTCGAACACACTCCTCCCCTTCCTCACATGGATAGTGAGATGCTTGTGATGACCCTTGAGGGGATAAAGAAAAGTTTTGTCTAATTGAGCACCGAGTAACTTAGTTTCTTACTGGAAAGCTTATTTTATTTTTGAAAAGTAAAGCACTTTGTATGCAAATAAAAGTGCATATCCTCAAAGTGGAATATTTCTCAGTAATAAAAAGGAATTAAATATTGACAGATGCTACAACTTGGAGAAAGCTTCTAAACCTAGCTAGTAAAAGAAGCTGGTTACACAAGGCCACACATTGTGTGACTCCATTTATGTGAAAGTCTGCAACAGGCAAATCTATGAAATGTACAGAAATATGACAGTAAATTAGGGCCCACTTCCTGTGTTGGGGTGGTGATAAGGAGTAACTGCATGGGTGTGAGCTTCTTTGGGGAATCGAGAAAACATTCTTAAATTAGATTGCCTTGCAGGGTGTATAGCTCTATGAATATGCTAAAAACTGGATTTGGACTTTAAACAGGTGATTCTGTTGTATATGAATTATATCTCAATAAAAAAACATAGATTGGCCTTGAAAGTCTGGCTGGAAATGTACATCAATAATGAAGTGCTTGCCTAGAGCTAGCATGTGTAAGGTTCTAAGGTTGATTCCTAGCATTAAACATAATAAAACAAAGCAAAATGAAACAAAATGAAAATATAAGTTAGGTGTGGTAGTATGTACATGTAGTCCCAGCACTTGAGAAGATGAGGCAGGAGGATTGTAGGAATGAGGCCAGTCTGGGTGATGTAGTCAGAGCTTTTCTTAAAAAACAAACAAACACCAAAAAACAAACTCATTCAAAACAACCCAAAGTCAAATATGGTTTTTGAAAATTGTCTTCCTGAATCAAAATAGGCAAATTTTTAACTCATCTTGATTTGTGGTGGGCTAAGAAGCTATATGTACGTAACAATGACAACACAATTAAGGAAAAATTGATCATATGACGAGAGCCACCAGACTTGAAATACATTGCCCCTATTTTATGCACAATCTTTTCTAGGAGCTTTAAAAATTTATACTTCCTGAAATGTTGATTAGTGAGATATCCTATAAGAAATAGCAGGGTACTGACAGCCCTGATTGCATAAATAGGCGTTTGGGATTGTGTTCATGGTTTGCTTGTCAGCATAAGAGAAATGTGTGATTATGTTGAATGATGGTAAATTTCCGTATCCATCCATTTTAAAAATAAAGATATATGGCTGGAAGGCAGGTGTCTATGGTGGGGGTGGGGTGAGGGCAGGAGACCTGCAGCTTTTATAGTGAGCTCCAGGGAGGAACTAGGAGGAATGCTTTCTTCTTTGTAAGCTGGCATTTGATTTCTGACTGAATTCAAGAACTTTGGGTAGTGCGTTAACACGTAGCTTTCACTTACTCTTGCTCTGGGTTTGAGTCTGGACAGTTTTCACCCCCTCCTCCTTCCAGATCATTGCACCACTCTGTGTGACTGACATATTGTGTGTACAGAGCTCAAAGAGCCACCAGTTGTCTTGGGTAGAGAGGCAGGAGGGGAGCTGTGCTTTCTAGCTTTGTGATGGGAACAGTTCATACACAAACAGTTCTCTTTGATTAAGTATCTGGTGAAACCATTTTGCATGAACTCCAATTAAACTTTAATGAACAAGTGGGTGTATTAATATCAGCTGAGTAATGTAGGCAGCACAGATTCCAGTAAGTGACTCACTTCTCTGAGCAGCTCATTCCCCATGCACGGTTAGAGTTACTAGAAAGCTTCCAGCTGTATTGGAGTGGATCTGGTCTGGGCCTTGCAATGCTAGCAATCCTCGGGACTTGTTATTCATCTCGTGACAAAACCACAGTTATCCAGACCTCTATTTTCAGAACAAGGATAAAGGATGGGGAGCCTTGTTCACATGGAGCAGTTTAGGCCCTTTGTGGAGCAGTGACCATTTGGGCTTTTGTTTTCTCTGCCTTCCTATTATTTGTTTTGTTTTTCTCTAGGTGGAAATTCTTTTTTTCCTAAACCTAAGGACGGTGGAAATGAAGGTGGAACACTTTGTTTTGAAAGTTTTCAGGTGAACTTAGTCTCCCTGAGTCTTCCTTCTATCTGCCCTTGGAATGAGGAGTCTTTTGGGGCGTGGACCCTGTTCTGTGTAGAGACAGATGACTCTATTTCCTAGGAAAGATAACAGGTGAATGAATATAGTTTAGCTGTTAGGTTCAGGCTTGGCCCATAATCAGTTCTCAGCACACATTTGTTAACTTGGACCAGTGGGGGAAGATTTACAGATGAACAGGGCTCTGTTCTGCACCCTTCAGAAGCTCAGAATCTCCGTGTGTTTAATATACCAATGCCTGTAATTGCGGAGTAATAAATATTGGAAGCTTGGGAGAGATAATGAGCAGAGGGGATTTCAGGAATGGGGAGGTCACAGAGGTGGGCTGCATCTGAAAAGGCTCAGGTGAGGGTGTTAACAGGTAGGGGCTCAGGAAGGTAGTTTCAGGGTCACCCATGAACAGGAACAAAGGCTGCAATATGGATGTACCCGAGTGTGTGATAAGAAACATCCAGTGTGGTTAGAGGTGAGGATGTATTGGGCTGGGGGCGTACTTGGGACTGAGTTGGACCTGTACTTTGTCCAGGAACCTCATTCCTAGCTCCACTGGTGGTGCTCTCTCCTGTTCTGTGTCTTGCAGGCACAGCATCCGGAATTAATTTTTCTCTGTTCCTGTAAGCTAACTCCTCTCTCATAAGGGAATGGACCTGTGAAACTCTCAGTGTTGAGGAGCTGGGAGTACAAAGGTCAAATAGGTAAATTCCAAAGCTTAGGAGGAAGAGGCTGAGTTGCACATGCTCTCTTCTCTGAACCCAAGGATTGGGCAACTCATTCCCTCCTCTCCTGTGGCAGGAGGCCAAAAAAAAAAAAAGGGAAAAACTAAAGGCTATTTCCAAAGTAGGAGGCTGAACAGTAAGGCAGGGCCAGCTTGTAGAAGTGAGGAGACAGGCACAGTTTTCTGAGTAAAGAATGATGTAATTCAGGCAGGTTAATCTACTTATGCAACCCTAATTGAAGGACACACTTAGCTAACTCGAGTATGAGTAAACAGATCTTGTGTAACGCTGTCAAGGTCAGCAGTGCAAGAATCAGATCCAACTCAGAAATCACTGCCACCCCACTGTGAAGTATTGTGGATATCACTTATTAGGATCACTCCCAGACATCTTTTAGGGACTGTGATAGGATAATGAAATCCAAGAGGAAAAGGCATGCTTTACATTATAATACCATAGGTAGGAGTATCTAATTGAATCGATAAATCATTTATGAAGTTTTGAAGAAAGCAGAAGGAATTCTTCCAAATTAAAAAGATTGATAGTGCAAAGCAGGAACTAATGGTTGCTTATAGGAAACAAAGAAATGAGTCAATAGCTTATTTAGCAGTTAAAGATAAGTAAGAGTTAATCTGATTGAACATCTACAGAGATCACTAATTAAAATCTATTATTTCTATTTTACAGGCAAGAAAACAGAAACAAATATAGAGATCATTATCCAAGGACACTTGGGTTGGGTTCATTGGCCAGTTTAATTCCTAGTTTCATTTTGGGGATTTCACATAGAAGTGAACAGTTAGATTGGTTATAGAGACTCATGGGACAGTTGAGTTGGATTTGGTTTTGACAGTCAAAGGTATTGGGTAGTTGTGCTGTTAAGTTCTCTGCTTTGTTTTGGTAGATGAGATTTGATTAGAAATGTACTAGCTGTAATGAATAATGCGTCTTTGACAAAGTTCTTCCATTTCAGGGTTTCTTTGGAGCCTAACATGTCAGCAATATTTAAAGTCACTTATAGAGGACAGGTCATCTCTCATCTACCTCTTATCATTTTTTCAAGACAATAAAAAGATTATATGGATTAGTAGATTAGTTTTCCTGAGGCAAAGAGCCTTTGCTAACCCAAATTTCTGCCCACATCGCCCTGTTTTCAGCATTACTTTGTGGATCTTCTTTTCTGGACATCTTTGACAGACCACCCTGCTCTCTTGGAGGCAGCTTTCTCTTTCCTTTTCCAGAGTGGACCCTACTGTACCATTCTGGCCCGTCTCTGGTCCCTCTTCTTTGCATACCATGAATGCAGGTCTCTTGCGGATACTGGCCTCTCTACTCCTCAGCTTTCCTTACCTGTGGTTCTGTTGAGCATCCATCCTGATGACTGTGTCACACAACAGTAGACCTCAGCAGAGTTTGTGGATATGATTCACTTAGGAGAGTTTTACCAGAATTCACTCTGTTATCTTTAAACCTTTGGATGTAGACTGGGAAATTTGCATTTTAAAAATCCTTCTTAGAAAATTGTGATAATCCTTCACAGAATCTACTGCTAGCAGTCTACTTTTGTGTGTGTGCCTGTATGTATGCTTAGAGTAAAAGCTTTTAAAAAGACATTTAAGGCGTTGGTATCAGAAAGAGAAAGACATGGGGCAGGAAAGTGAGAAGGTCAAACTAAGGGTGTGGTCTCAGCTGAAGAGGAAGCTAGCTGGGGCTGCAAGGGAACAAAAGCTCATCCTCCTGAACCCCTGCTTGTTTTCTACCCCAGGATCACCCCCCAAATGACTGTTTGTTCTGCCCAGCAACACATTTGCTCCAGCTTGTACAGTTCTATGGAATCTGTTCTAGAAGTTTCCATGGTGACAAGAGACTGAGGGCAGGAGTTCTGCAGATCAGCCCCGCTGAAGATGAGGATGATAATGAAACTCTATCTTATTCTAGAGACTTCAAAGATTCCCTGAAGACCCAACTTTCTGTTTTTTGCACCCAGACTCAAAGCAAGGTCACTTTTTTTTCTGGATAATCTCCATATGATTAATCTGATGGAGGCTTTTAATAACAAACCAAATTTTGGCAAACTCAGTCAATTCCTTAGCAAAAAAAAAAAAAAAAAATCAGACTGACAGATGGCTAATTTACTGACTGGCTGAGGTGAAAGGGAGACCACTTTTCCTTCTCCCAGCCTTGGACTCTCCCTGGGCTTTTTGGGGCGTACCAGGTGAAGACCCTATTATAAGTTTGCAGTTGCATCGTCCTTATTTCAAAACTACAGACTTGATGTTACCCTCCTTCTGAGGAGCAAAGCATCAATCAATTCTAATGGAAAAAGCTGTTTGATGAATGGGACAGGAAAGTGTCACTACAGTCCCGGTGAGTCATTCTGAGAGAAGCTTGATGTGAGTTGCCTGGTATGTGGATTCTTCTCAGTGTGCTGTGATCTTAAGCAGCTTTTGAATCTTTCTCAGTTTCCTCTTCAAATCAGAATGTATCTTTTCAAAAGCCTTGTTCCTGGACATCCTCTTCATAGATTGGACTCGTCCTGTTAGGCTGATAGCACTTCTGATTCATGAAAATAACAACAAAAACAAAAGTTGATGTTTTTGAACAGAGGTGCAGTGTTAAGAGGTCCAGGCAGACAACATGTGTACAGGCTTTTGTTTTGAAGGAGGATGTTGGAACTTGGGGGTAGGAAGGAACTGAAAAGATTTGGTGCTTTTTTTAAAATAAAAAACCAAAACTTCCCTGAGAAAAATGGATGGATATTATAAACAAGACCAGAGGAAAATGTCACCTGGTAGTATGCTTCTAAAAGTAGCTCGCCAACTAAATGTTACTGGGTTCTGGGTTGCTTGCTTCTCTCTCTCGAGTTAAGAGTCCGGGTTCTTTCACTTTGGAACAAAGAATTGAGCAAAACATGTAACAGGCAGTGGCCAAGTTTATTCAAGAAAGTAAAAGTGAAGAGTTGGGGAAAAACTGGCTCTTCAGAGCAAGCTTAAGCAGAGTAAACAGTAAAAGAGTATAAAAGCAAAAATAAAAGCACACACTATGAGTGGGGAACACAGAGGATTATGGTGGAAAGTGATCCCTAGCCCTTCATGGCATCCTTGCCTTGTCCTTTATTCTGTCCAAACCTCGAGGAAACCCGCGAGAGCTTTTAGACAGTGGTCCTGAGAGGCGGTGGTGGGGCCTGAAGTTTCAGGCCAAGGTAGGTCTTGATCATCCTATAGAAGTTCTCGAGAGTTCTCCTTTAGGGATTTGGAAACTGTTTTGCCTAGATGTCTGGTATCTCCTAATTAACGAGTCATTCCTACTTCTGCCAGTTTTGATGTTGTCCGCTACTCTCTCAGCTGTTAATTTTGTTTTGTTTGATTTTATTTTGTTTTTTGAAACAGGTTCTCGATGCATAGCTTAGGCTGGCCTTGAATTTACTAGCAGTCCAGAGGGATCTGCAACTTTCAATCCTTTTCTCAGCTTCCTGAGTGTTGTGCCTGCTTTGGATCAGATGAATTAATAGTGCAGATACTCTGCGTCCAGAAAAATGTCACTCTGTTTACTTTCTTAGCTAAAATCTTATTTTCTTCCTAAAACAAAACAAATATCTTTTTTCTATTATAAACGTTACATGAACCCAATTTAGAAAATTAAAATGCAGAAAACAGTGAAGAAAATTAAAATACCTAAAAGTCCTGTAAATCAGAGATACCACTGTTTTAGGCAACGTAAGTAACCGCTCTATTTTTTTTTTTTTTTCGTCTTTTTCATTTTTATCGGTACCGGGGATCGAACTCATGACCGCCTGTTTGCAAGGCTGGTGCTTATGCCGCTGAGCTAAATACCCAGCCCCTTCTGTTTTTTTTAAAGGAGAGTAGTGTTTCACATTACAGGCACACACGCACACATACATACATATATATGTATATATAGGTAGTATTTCATATATATGTATCTTCTATTTTTTAATACTAGATTTTAAACATCTTTCATATTTGACATTCTTTAAAATATAAGTTTTAATAACTCTGGGATATTGCATTACATACATGGTGATATATTTGACTTTTGTTTCCATTACTAAATGATAGTTATTTACCAATAATAGAAGTTGATTAAAAAACAAGCAACAATATATATCTAGGGGAGCCAGGCAATGCTTACCAAGAAAGGAACTTGTTTTAAAGCCAAGGCTACTTTGCCATGTTTTTACAGTTGAGGATTTGAAGTATTTAATCCTAAATTATGGCATATTAAGCTGGAGTTCAGCCATACTTTTAGCGAAGATTTTGGTTAAGGTAAGGATCGACCTATAGAGTTGTTAACTTAGAGAATATTCTAATCATAACATTTTAGACCAAGTTGTCTTAAACAACATTAATGAGAGAAACATAGAAAAGTTTTTTTAGTAGTCTTATGAATCTGCTACCTTGAGTAAGGTGCCTTCTGCTTTCTGGAAGACTTTTTCTTTTCTTTTTTTGGAAGGATACAATAGATTTGTTTTCTCAGATGGGTTCATTTTCTCTTCCTGGATTAATGCCTAACACCATATCACACTTTCAATGTGATGACATAGTGGCGAAGAAAGACTTTTGAATATTTTTTAAAAAGAAAATTTTAGGAGCAGTAAGCTCTGAGAGTAGATTTGTATTACTTCAGTGTTGAGATTAATCTTTTTCTCATGGATTTATGCCTTTATCTCTCTGCACTTCTGTGTGTCTCCTTACCACCTTGCTATCTACACTGGCCTGGTTCTATCCTTCTGTTTGTCCATCCTTGATTGTCTATCTGATCTTGCTTTTCTATACATCTTTCCCCTTGTCTATCCAATCAGCCACCTAAACACCTCGAGCTGTTCGCACTTACTTCTGCCTTTATCTGTCTCCCTCTTCATCTGTCACCTCATCTGCTGATTTGTTTATCCCTGTCTGCATGTACCTGTGCTGTCTAGAAATGTGATGCAGAGACCATTTTGATGAGCCTGTGAATTTCTTTGCTGTGTTTTATTCTGAGGATCACAGGGGTCAAAGATCATGAGAATCAGAAAGTGAATGTAACTAAAACTCATTCACTTCTGTTTCACTTCAAAATCAGGAAGGATGTTCAGAACTAACCAAATACCCTTTCTGTGAATACCTTTTCTATGATAATCTTTTCTAGAATATTTTTATTATAATACATTTTGGGGACTATTATTTCGAACTAATATTTTGCTAGGAATCAGCCACCAAGACTGTCTTATGGTCAAATTACAAAAGAGTAAAAAAAATATACAAATGCAGCCAGATGTAGTGGTGTATACTTGTAATCTCAGCACTTGGAGGCTGAATCAGGAAGGTCACCATGATTTCAAGGCCAGCCTGAGGTATATAGTGTGTAGAAGGTCAGCCTAAACTGCATAGCAAGACCCTGCCACAAAACAAAAACAAAAACAAACCACATATACACACAAAAATTCAGCATTTTTAGAGGTTCAAGTACAGGATAATGAAGGTTTTTCTGGGGTGTGGGCGATTGTGTAGCCTTTCACCTTTGGACAAAATAGAAGAAAAGGAACCTTTCCTGAAATTTTTTCCTGAGTCTGCAAAAAGTGGTTTTTACTTTTTATTCCCATTTATAGATGAAAAACAAAGAAACTCAATGGTTTGCCCAAGTTTGCATGGGACTTAGCTAAGTGGTGGCGTAGCTTTTGTGGGACACAGACTTGTTGGGCTCTCAAGCTGTAACTCTCCACTGTAAATCACTCCGAAACCATGCAGAGGTCCTGTGAAACCTTAGCTACCTATTAACTCCCCACTTTAAATTTTATAGCAACCCAGCTTTCAGAAAGGATCCTGTAAGTAGCACAGTTTCCGGGCCTTTCTCTGAGAGATGGTAGGGTTGTCACAGGCACACGATAAAGAAGACAACTCTGAGGATATGAGTGGAAGTTTGAATTCATAAGTGGGATTTTCCCCTCTTTCTCTCCTTGTGTTTAATGTAACCTGAGTCTCTTTAGTCAACCTAACCCAAAAGTTGTAAAAGTGTCTTTCATGAGACACATTTTTGGAAGGCAAACCAATCAGCAAAATGTGGTGACTCTACCCTGACTTCTATTGCTCTACATGCCAGAAAAGACAGCTATTGTAATATATTGTGCCAGGCCAGCTGTTACAATCACAAATGAGCCTGAAATAGCACTGACTTCTGAAATCACAGCGAATTTATTTAGTTCTTAAATTTTCCATAGGTTTGAAAGCTCGCTCTCCCTCCTTTTTTTTTTTTTTTTTTTTATCATGATTAAACTGACGCTTTGCTAACTACATTCTATTCTGGGTGGGAATTCATTTTGGCATAATTAAGAATGAAGAGGGAGATGAAAAGAGGCTTTGCCGTGAGACATCCTATGTAATTTATCCTTTAATATTGATTTTATTCTTTAAGCCTTTTGACTGTCTACTGAGTGCTTTGTGTTTTGTGGGAGGGATGTACTAGCACAGGGATCAGCAACCTTTTGCTGTGAAGGACCAGATGGTTAAGTATTTTGGTTTAGTACTTTAGCCTTTGTAGTCCGTATGATCTTTGCTGCATCTACTTACTCTCTTCACAGTCAGTATATTAAAATACTCAACTTTCCATAGACAAAGCAATTGAATGTGGATAAGTTCCAGCAATATTTTATTGTAAAAGCTTGTAATTGGATTTAGCCTGTGAGCTGCAGTTGGCAGCACCTGTAGTGGAATATTCATGACATTACTGGACTCTGTCCTGTTTGTTGCAGTGTATGACATGTGATAAGTGCCTATAAGTACTTGTTGAATGAATAATTGAATGAATAACAAGAGAATGAGTGAATCAGACCCTTTCTCTGATCTCTAATAAGAGCTTATAGTCTAATAGGGAATGTAGACAATCTAGGTATGTAATTTATATACTTCAAGAAATACAAAGACTACAGGATATAAAAGAAGGAGAGGATGGAGGGCAGGGAAATTAGGGGTTATCTGAGCTGATCCTGTAAGTAAGTGTCACAAGCCAGAGATGGGATAAGCACCTATGGGCATAGGCAGAAGAAACGCATAGGGCGTACTGTAGGCAGGGCATTGGTGGTAAATAAGGAGTAGATAAGATACTCTCTTATGGGAGTTCCCTGACTTGCGTGATTTTGAAAATGATCAGCTACTAAAAAGAGATTCCCAACACAATCCCTGGAGGTTTGATTATTTTAAAGGCAGGCTTGGCTGATAGCAATTTACAAAATAAATATTTGAAAAGCAATATGATTTTAGAAGGATAGACTAGAACTATTTCTAATGGAACACAATGTTCTCACTTTTTAATGAACAGGACCAGTATCTGCTAATGGGACTGGACCATCATTACCCTATACCTCCTTGCCA